TCGTTTGTCTCCTCAGCCTCACTGGTTCTCTCTTGGCCCTTTCCCCTGGTTATCCTCTGCTTCCACACGAACCGCTATGTTCCGCTGGATCCCCTCATGTATGGCAGCCTCTACATGGCCTTCCTCCTGTCAGGTTTCTTCAAGCGCCTCTTTCTTCAACGTTTTGTCCCACCTAGCCTCTTCAATGCCCTTCTGCCGGCTGTTCTAGGCCTTATCAGCAACAGTGTCTTCTTGGCTGGCATATATAGCGGCGACTGGAAGTGGGCCAGCAATTTAATCCTGTTTCTGAGTCGTCTTTGCTACGGCTGGTCAGTCTACTCCGGTGCTGACTTTGCTCGTCGAGCCAGCGTGGAGGCCAAACGACGCCAAAAGGAAGCCCTTACACTAGAGGAAAAGGTCGACAATATTGCTCCTGATCTACAGGACCCAGCCTTTCATGCGGGTGTCCTCTTGGCTCTAGTCATCTGTCTCATTCTCGAGGCCTGCCTTCGTCAGTTTGGTGCCCAGATGGCGGAATTCTACTCTATGCTGATTTTGTTGATATTCTCAACGCTGATGTCTTCGGTCAGTGTGCCCTGCATGTTTTCTAAGGTCAAACAAATTCTGCGTCCGGCGCGAGAACCCCTCGTGGAGGAAGTGGTACCGGGCGACGAAGCTGGTGCCAGTTTATCGCAATCGGTCGAGGTGTGTCTTTTATTTGACTCCTTTTTATCCGCAGCCTTGTGTACCCCTCCACGTGCATCTATGGGCAGTTTCCGACCACATGATGCCTAGACTGTGGTAAATGGGGTCAAGTACTAAATAATATTGCACACGCCACTACAGCCTGACTAGTTAGAACCTCCGTCGGGGAAATATCCATGTCGCCGGGTGTGGATTAAATTGGGTAGCGACACTGTAGGCACTAGCAATAGGAGTAGTCAGTATAATCGTAGCGAAACCTGCAAAGTAGAGTCCATTCCGGAGGTTTAAAATACTCAACGTTGGCATTGTAGACAAAAATAGGGGATACTGGCATGACCACTTCATACTCATTAGCCATTGTCAGCCAGTCATACCCAGCCTAAAGTGGTGCACCATCTGAGACTCGAAATTGCGACATTTTGATAAGACTTCTAACGTTCTAACCAAATAGTCACAAGCTCGTCTTGTCCGTTTAGTCGGGAGATATTGACACTCGTTGATGAACGTTCACCGATCGCTACCGGAACTTTTGCTATGCCTTGGAGCTCATTGTCGCGCTCCGCCCACTGCCACACAGCGACTAGTGGTCTAGGCTGTCTCCCTTGCCTTTGCCGTCAATGTCAAATGCTTAACCACTCTGCCACTGCTGACGGGGCTCGAAAGTTATCCCCAAGGCAGAGCGGGAGGAGTGAGTTCCGTTAGCGATCGGTGAATGTTCATCAACAAATGCTCACTGTTGTCTAAACGGTTTGTATAGAAATATCTTTGCTAAAATTCCAATGAAAAAAATTCAAAAGGCAACTTGCCTAGCATATGTCCACCTTCGACGAATTCACCTCAGGTCTGTTGCTGGAGCAATAATTGGAAGCTGTGGTCAAGTAAGGAAAGCATGCTGTAGCTGAGGTTATGTGGGGTCGATAAACCTTACAGCTAGTCTTCTCTGATCAACGTCAGCGGGCATGATGGCCACTGGGAAAGGTAAATACAGTAGGCTGCATATCGCATGAAATGTCAACCGAAATTCAGAAAAGTGTTTTCGATTCGAACAAATTACTTGAGTAGGGTTGTCGTATCCTACAGCCTTAACCCAGTGGGTTTTACTCTAGTCAGGATGCTGGCTTTTGAAGGAGCCTCGTTCTAGCAACCGGAAAAAGCAGTATGCCCTTTTTCTGGTCTATTTTCTACGCCCTTCAAAATTCAAGCGTATTTTATCGAAAACGCGCAGAAAATTGCACCTTCAAGTTTTGTACTCAGCCCATATTCCAGTTTTAGAAAACCTAAATTGCCGAACAATTTAGAACCCTACCGATATTTTTACTTGAATTCAAGGTTTCCAAAGCCGTATGCATGCTGTATAACGCAGTTTAAGAACAATCGTACATTTCTCTGCTCTAGGAGTAGTAGACTACATAATTCTCATAAAATGTTGCAATGAATGTAAATCCTGTTCAATACCTAATAGACAACACTAGTAAACTGAGGGATACGATGTAATATAAATGAACTTTTTATGATCACAAAAAATCCCATAATTAACAAAAACAAATTTCAAAATATGCCCCTTGCTACCTAAAATGTAAAAAAAATTGCATGTAGACAAAATATTTTAAGTTATCGAGGAAGATGTATGCTGCTTAGGTATGATTTTTTTTACAGAGTGTGCTTTTTGCAGGTGATTACAAAGAAACTCGTCCAAGAGCTGGTACCCTGAGTTGACTGAAATATCTTGGAATTATTCTGCGCGGTAATCAATATTAAAAACTGGCTTAGGTAATTTGTTCGAACTTAAGCTAAGTTTTAGAATTTCGGTTGAAATTTTATGAGATAGAGAATCTGTTGTGTATTCGGGGGGAGGGGGGTGAGAAAGCTGGCTTGGTGACTTTAGGCCACGGCAAATACATTGCCCGTACCAGGTTCTTTTTGTGCTAACAGGATCGGTCTGCGTAATCTGATTGCGACCGCCTCTGCCGAAGCCAGCATACTATACTACAAGGTAGATACTAATATACATGTGCAGGCCCGCAGAGTATTTATCGAAAGCAGGCATCTGCCTGCCAAATTGTCTGTTGAATATAAATATCTGTTTGACAATTGGCCCACTGCTATTGTCAGTCATGGAATATGATAGGTAGCGTAACTCCCTGAAACATTCAGTTAAATCCTCAAATGTGCTTTCATTGAAAAAAATATTATGTCATCTGATATTTCTTATCGTGCAGTGCAATTAAAATACGTTCCATTCTTGTCGCGTTTCCGCATTTTGAATGCGCGTCGTTCCGACTGCTTGCAGAAGTCGCATTCGCTAAAAGAGGAAAGTGGTTGGTAGGAATTACCTTTATGGCTGCAAGAAAAGGATACTTGAATATAAACCGCCCTCAATACATGGGGCTGGGTGCCAAATTCCGGACAACTTAGGTTTAGCAGTAAGGCGTAGCTTCGGGTTGAGTTTGGGGTAGGACGAGAGTTAAGATTAAGATCGTAATTTGGTTTTATATTCGGGTTAAGATGCGGGACTAGTAAGCTTTCCTGAAATTGGTCGCAAGGCCATCCATTTTAAGTTGGTGGGACATTCCTGTTTAGGCGGCCGTAAAAGCCATCCTTGTCGCTTCGTTGCTCTTCGATGGCCTTATAAATTCAAGTATATTTTATAGCACGCATGCAGAAAGTTAGAATATTTGCACTTATTTTGTAGCAAAGAACCCTTTTGATGTTTTGTTCCGGCAACCAGTACTGCGGCCGAAAGCCCCTATACCTAAACAGGAGAAGTTAGGCGTTGTTTGCCGACTTCAGTGCAGCTGCAGGATGTGCAGTTATGTTGGAGAAACCGGCCGCTGGTACAAATGGAAGTGGAT